TAGCACGCTTTGCATTGTTGGAATATGCGGCCCCCTTCCACCCGTCCATCCATCCGTCCATCCAGCATCAATCAATTCAAATCCCCTCCCTCAACCAATGGCCGGGGTGTTGGGGAAGCTCCTGGCTGGGCTGGGCGTGGGCGGCGTCACTGAGTGTGGTGGTGGGCGTGGGCGTGCGTGAGCGTGGCGGACCAGCGGGCTGCTACAGTCCTTGTCCATGTCTCTCCCGACTCTCGAGGGTCGCCAAGCTCGCGCCTCTCATCTCAACTTCCAGAGCTCTGGCTCCAGCTCCTTGCGTTTCCAGCAACCCGCCTAGCCCAATCTCGGCCATGGGTTGAGTCAGGTTGGCAATATTCAGAGTTGATCTGCCCCCAATTCTCGCTCTGCCGGCTGAGCCATGGCCGAATTGGAAACCCCAAACCCCAAGCAAGACAACAGCGACGACGAGGGGGAAGAAAAAAAAAAAANCCAAGCAAGACAACAGCGACGACGAGGGGGAAGAAAAAAAAAAAAAGTTGAGGACTGGGGGGGGAACAAACGTCAACCTGCAGCATCCCTTGATCCACTGGCACCAAGTTGCGAGAGATACATCGACCAACGCCGGGAACGCGCCGGGGCTTCAGGTACCGATCCCACACGGCGGGGATACGTACCCTGCCATGGCCCCTGCGCCCAAGGGTTTCTGCCGTGCCGTTGCTGCTTGCTGGAATTTTTTCCAGATTTCGGCCAGCAAGGTGCTCATTTCTCCAATCAAAGCTCGTTCTTTGCAGCTCGGGAGATCCACCTGCAGCCTTCGGGACGTTATCGATAGGCAGCTGCGAATCAAGCCTGCGCCAAAGCTCCCTCTTCAGTGCTCTGCTCTAGGTAAGCGTTATTTCCCGTTTCCCATTCCTGCCGTCATTGGCGATGTCTTTCTGGGGAAATTCGACCTCAACTCTTCGTCTTCGCCAGACCAAACATTATCCACCACACATAATCGAGTCCCAGATCAGCTCTGATTCTCCCTCGACCTCGTCTCGTGCCTCTCGTTGTGAGCCGTCGTTCTTCAGCGACAGCTCCGAATCGGACTGCTGCTAGATAATGCCGGCCCAGTCCAATAGCTCTGTGTGCCCAAGTACATCGAGATACATCGCGTAGATGGATCGGTCAGCACGCTTGCCACCACCGAACACCGACGGGCCTCTCCCAAGCAATGTCCGAAGGCGCTGCCAGAGAGCAAGGCAGAGACAGTTGCGCTCTCAGTCGCACATTGCTCACAGCACAACACGTTACACACTGACGCCGCACCACCGACCGTTAGACACCGATCGTCACCGCCGTATAATTACACCCAGACCCGATCCGACGTCCACGAGTCGACATCTCCGACCCAGCCAGCACCCACCGGGCGAACGACCAGGCCCAGCGGCCAGCATGCCCGACCTGGCCATGCGCGCATCGCATTTTGTCCCCATTGGCATTTGGCATCCCGTCTTCATCGGCCCCGAGATCTCACCAGGCGGGCACTGGCCACTGGGCAGCAAGGCCCTCCAAGTTTCATCACAATCTCCATCAGCTACGCAGCACACCCCTCCAGTCCAGTCCCGATCGCGCAGGCGGTCAGCCAAGTGTCGCCAGGGGTGCAAGCCTCAACAACCTAACCGTCTGCTCGCTTACGCACCTCTAAACCGCCTAGCCTCGCCGGTTCTCCGTCCGGGGACGACCATCGGCTTCCGCTAGGCCCTCAGCAGCAGTGAGCACATCCCAGGCTTTCACCTCGCTGGACGATGAAATTTGAACGTCGATCTCAAGCCCCAAAGCCAGCGGCCAACGGCAGGCCAGGTCAAGCGCACCATTAATTGCCTCAGGTGGCAGGAGCGAGTTCCAACTGCCCTATCTAAACTGCTTGTCTCAGACAAACACTTTGAATGAACAGCGCCAAAAGTCTCTTTCCGCTGTTCCGTATCACAAAACTGCATTCCCCAGGTCCAATGTCTTGGGGAGGGGCTCCCATCGGCTTCGAACGGCTCCGGTGCAAGACAAGTGGAAGGGACCAGCCCGATAAGGGGCGAGGCTCAGTGGTGGTTGGTGCTTGGCTTCCAATAAAGCCAGGCTGGATTTTCTCATTTCATACAGATCCACGATGGCGATGGGCTTGTCCATCTCGCTCCCCCAACAATTGGGATTTTGGGACACAATTTGGGGGTCCTCTTCGATGGGTCCCTTCCAGAAATGCCAGGGGTGCATGCTGAGCCAATAGGAGGCGGACGAAAATAAACAGGCCCCCCCACTCGAAGGGGGGGAAAACACAGCGCGCCGCAGAAAAAAAAATCGCCAACCAGCGCCCGACCAAAAGCAGAGCTTCTCCACCCGCAGATCCCCAACATCTTGTCCGTCCTTCTGCGGGCGTGGAGACCGTGCAGCGCCGCCACGGCAGCAACAACATCGGCCACCCGGCCTGCCACTGACCCATCTGCAGCGGTGCAGCCAACGACGTGAGCCCGCCGAACCCATCGAGACTCGCCATGGCTGCGGACGAACGCCAACCGGCTCCCATGCCATGTTCCTGCTTCTCCCGCCCTCAACTTCAGTCCCTCAACCCTGTTTGCCTATCTCCCAACCCAACTTCGGATACAGAGTCTTCCGCACTAATTAGCATGTCTTTCTGCAGCTGGACGCACCCGTGTTACCTCTTGCCGCTACGGCTACCACTACCGGTACTGCCGCTCCGATGCCGAAACCTCCCTTCTCCCATCATCCTCCTCACGCCGAGGTCAACATCCCCTGCCAGTCCCTACAGACCGCCCACCAAATCCACAGCAACGCAACCGTCAGCTTCGTTGACACCACCGCCCGGACTTCCGTTCGTCCATATCCCACCCATTATCAAAGTTTGTCCCCATCACACCCCAGATGGTTGTGACAACCGAACGCCCCAAAGCGAGAGAAGCTCCGAGCTTTGGCCCCTAGGTCGTCCTGTCCTCGGCGCCTCGTATGGATAGAGGATGCTACGCTAGCTCCCTACAGAGGTACGCTTACCCGCACTAAAAACGGGCGAGCAGATCCGATCCTGTCAAAGCTGGGGACCCTCTGCGCGCAATCTGATACTCCCACCTCAACTCGGCATCCACCGTCACCTTCGACAAACGACGGACGACACTCTTGATTGGATGATGTCCCCTTGAGTCTGGCTGGGACTAGCGACCATGGTGCCCTTTCTCGATTTCTATCCCCAAGAATAGCCAAGCTCTCACTCCATCTCGAACCTGTGACACCGTCATCGCCGGTGAGGCGGCTTGCCTCTGCCTACCCAAGCAGCGGGATGGTTTGGACGTCAAGATCCACTTCCGATGGGTACATGACGGAAGGGAGGCTCCCCCATCTACAAATACGACGTCCTCCCCTGGCCATGACTTAGAGTCCAAAAGGTATTCGCCCCACTCCCTTGTGAACGAGCCGCATCGCCCCGTGCCTGCAGTAGAACGACTACCGACCGAATCGTGTCTCGAGCGGCCCCGAACGCCGGTCTTAGCTCATCCGTTCGAACTGACCTTGCAGGTGCGTGCGTCCACGTAGTCAGCGTGTTGCTGCGAGACTGCAGCTGCACGACACATTGGCCAAACGAAATCGGTCTTCCAGATGGCATGGCCCCGTGACAGGGGACGAAGTCGACGTCTTGGGCCGCCAAGTCCCGAGGCTCAGATGGACTCGTTCGCGCTCTCCTACGCACTCCGCAACTCATTTTTGTCTGATGAACGGCGTTCAGTCAAAGTAGGCATGAGACCTGAGGCTGCCTAGCTGCCTCGCACGAGCCTTGACTAGACGACCCGTTTGTTCTCGACTCGAAGTGACTTGGCCGAACGTTGTCCGCTGTGGCTAGTGCAAGAGCCGCAATGAAACAAACAAGCAGAACCGATGACGTGGATCCGGTTCCTGCATCCTGCCAAGTGCCGCATTTAGGGCGTAGCGGTTTTACATTCACATGCCGAGAACGTGTAGACCAGCTATCAGCAGTCTCTATTCTTAGACTGGGGTAAAAGCATCCGCCGAAGATCTCCCAGTGAATTCCGGCCGACTTTAATCCTGATTGCGTGACATTAGCTAAGCCCACAAGAGGCTGATCATGACCGTGGCTGTATCTCTTGTTGATCTTTACCGGGTCAATGATGAACATATCCTAGACGAATATGATGTACACTTGGGCTTATAGCTCCTGAAAACCCGCTATTGGTACATACAGCAGGACCGCGTACGAGGTGAGATTGTCTCCGAGTCGCTGTGGCTCAATGAGGCTAAAGCGGCAATTTCCGGGTTATGTTGGACATCATCTGTTTTATGTCCTCCACTCACCCTGCCCGTGCATAGGAAACAGAGATTGCGATTTTGCGTGGCTTTAAGCTTTGAATGATATTGGTTGTCACTATTCATTACGATCTATAGTCATTCATTGTTCGATTACTATTTTGGAGTTCATTATAGTAATTCTTTATTTCTTTTTTCTTTTTGTACACATGGTTAGAAAGCAAATCGAATATTTAGTAGTCCACCCGTGTTAAATATATATTATGCAAAGTGTTTGACATCACAGGGATACTGCGAATGAATACATCAACGTCAATCAGAGTACTTGTCTTGAATCCGGAAGACACGACGTGAGACGCAAAAGTTTTTACTTCACCAGCTTCACTGATATGCTACGTACTCTACATAGGTCAGCTATTTACTTCGAAACTCCCTAATTATCAAATGTTTGAGTACATAAATGGTTAGGTAGATACTTATAGGAGCTGTTCTGAGTCCCTGTCTTCAGCTATTGTTGTGATGATGAACCGAGGAAGCTTGACTGCCTCGTGTTTTTGGAGTTTAAGTGTTAGTATGGAGCGAAGTGCTAGAAATGCCTTTGACGGTATCACTCCCACATATTTACAAATGGTACATCAAACATACTTGAGCCTGTCTTCTAGTCGAATGTCTAAAACTTCTGGCGCGACCTTGCAGTTCACCTTCTGTCTGCTCAAGAGTCAAGAGACCACGCACCCTCTTCGTCCATCTCCGACGCTATTTCCTCCATCGCGATGTATATCATCGCTGTCAAGCTCATCTCCGCGCTTCTCTCCTCGAGCAGTGTTCCGATTGTACGCATACCCATCATCATCCATCCTCCTCAACAAAGGCTCAACCCTCCCAAACAGCTCCCGGCCGCCTCCCAGGTCCGTCGCAACATACCCGCACTCCTCGACGCTCTCAAAAAACACCCCGCCAAAGTCCTGGATAACGTCGCACTTCTCATTCATGCTCAGCACCATCTCCATCCGCCGATGCCACCCCTCAGGCGTCACCGGGAACGTCCGCCGCGGCTCGTCCGACCTGCCCTCGCTGTTGACGCAGACCACCGAGGGTATGTCCGGCGAGAAACGCACAACCCAGACGCCGCCTGTGGAGGGGTACCCGACGTGCGTGTCGGGTGGGTGGTGGAAGTCGTACATCACCCCGTCGTCGATGCGCTTTTGGTGACGTGTGTAGGTCTCCCAGCTCGGCCACCAGGGCGCCCCGAGTGAGAGCATGCGCATTGCGAGGGCGTCTTCGACGGCGGGGGTGGAGGTGGAGGTGTCGTGTGTGCGAGGGAGGTTGAGGTAGACTAGGTCCACGGCGGAGGGGTGCGATACTACGATGCCGCCTGTGCTGGGACGGACAACGAGGTAGCCTGTTCCGCTGTAGAAGTTGGACCGCTTGGGAGGGGTTGGGGGTATGTAGGCTGGGTCATATGGATCGTAGCATATTTCCATGGTCGTGGGTTGACTGGGAGGCCACTTCGAGTCGAAGTCGGGTCGCAACGTCAAGGAAAGAGTGAACCGATGAAGATGGTGGCCAGCGGCGTATTGAGCATCTGCTTGGCGAGGGAGCCTATTGTTGGAACTGCGAGCAACCAACGAACCTGGGTCACGTGGGTGATTATGTTTGCTGCCTTGTGGTGTTGGGACAGGTGAACGTTGCAAATCCGATTGGAAGTCAGAGAATTATCCTGTCACTTAACTTTTCCCTGACAATTGATCAGGCTGCTAATGAACTGGTGTAAGTGAAAAATTGCATATAAAAGCCAAGACAAGATCACATTCCAGGATACAAACGCCATCACAGCTGGTCTCGGCCTCTTTCACGCAGCCGAGCTGCATCCATCCTTCCACCATCTGCATCACCACAACATCGTCCGTCGATCATACTGGAATTTATTAGAACGGGTCGACCCCAAGCAATTTTGTATCCTCGGCCACTCTCCTGAAAACTCACATCAAGCTCAACGGGCACAACACCATGGACGACGACCTCGAAATATGCAACGACATCACCGACCCTCAATACCAGCACCCGCCGCACCCCATGAGATCAAACATCTTATCCGGCGGGCCCGGCTACCTCGTATCCCACCCGTCCCTCGGCGGCATCGTCATCTCGACCCCATCGTCCATAGACCTACAACACCTAAACCTCCCCCGCACCCACGACACCAATCTCACTTCCTTCTCCAAAAGCGAAGAAGACGATCTCGCGCAGCGCATGCTCCTCCTCGGCGGGCACTGGTACCCCTCCTGGGCCACCTACGCTCGCCACCAGGAACGTCTCGCCAACAGCACCGTCTACGACTTCCACATGCCCCCGGACGTGTACGTCGGCTACCCGTCTAGCGGGGGTGTGTGGGTGGCCAGGTACGTGCCGGACCGGGACCACTTCCGCCACGGCCAGAAGTTCTCGCTTCCGCAGCGGCCGCCGGAGTGGAACCGGGTCATGCACCGCGTGCTGACGATGGACGAGAAGTGTGAAGCGTTGAAGGCGTTTGGGGCTACGTTCTACCCACGAATAGAGGACTGCGTGGATCTCCCCAAGTCCGTGGAAGAGGGCCGGGAAGAGTTCCAACGATACGAGAAGAGCTTGGAGGATATGGATGACGGCGACTACCAGAAGCGATGGTTTATGAGATTTCATGGTCTCGACCGAGACGAAGACGTTGAATCGAGGGCCACAGAATCAGGCACCAGGTGGGGTTGCGTGATGTGTTGAACTTCACAGGGTCACGACACTCAAAGTCATCAGACCACCAGATCGGGGCATTAAAATCCAGTATATTCAGACCAGGTGTGGTAAAACGGAATGGGAGTGGGAATAAGTGTAAAGGCCCGCAAGCACAATAAACCCCGGCACCGCCATGCTCCCGTCCAAACTCATAATCATACCAACGCCCTAATGCATATATCCACGCCGGACCCCGGCCCCCGTAATCATCATAAACAAGAATGGTTTGGTTTGGTTTCGACAAAGGAAAAGTGGTTTGTAAACTGAAGACGACTTTCTTCTCTTCGTCGGTCTTCCATTCGAAAAGGATAGAATAATGGTAATGTTTGTGCGCCATCGCTGTGCTCGCACCGTTTCCCCGCCATGCTATGATGCACGACTCTAAAGGTAGTAGTAGTAATCAAAAACACGAGTTCCGCCTCCTGTGGTATCAATTCTGCTTCGCCTCGAGATGTTCAAGCAACGCTTTCAACTTTAGTACGTCTCCTCCTCGACCAGCTCCTGGGGTCCGATTCTCGAACTCCTCAGGCCCATTGAGCTTCGCCTGCCGGATACACTGCCTCCGCTCTGGCGTCGGCTGCTTGGCATTGGAATGCCGCTCGTCGGCATGGGGATGCCACTGACGGAGCTGTCGGCCTCAAGGCGGGAGTATGTGCCTCGCCTGCTGGGTGTGCGGTACTCGTCCTCGTCGTCTTCGGGCATTTCCATGCGGTGGTGGCTTACACTAATTGACCTTCCGTGTCCGCGAACGCTGCTCCTCAAAGAGTCTCCCAGGGAGGTCCGGGGGCGTCCCAGAGGTGTCCTAGTACCTGACATGCTGGTACGGCTAATAGGGCGAGGAGGTGCCATATCAGTGCGACTTGACGGCCGGGCGTATGATGTGCTAGCCCGCGAACTCGGTCGAGAGATTGACTCATCGTGGCCGGCGTTGGGATTCCGGTTGGGCAGGGGACCGAACGACAACCTGCTGACACCCGACGTACTAAGGCGGGGCACATGCTTTGATGTTGTGCTGGCAGAGAAGTTGGATGGCGTTTCGTCGCCCCGCACTGAAGAGGCGGTGGAGCCCGTTGGGCGCTTGCGAGAGCGGATCGTAACCGTCGAAGGCACACTGTGGACTCCATTGACTGAAGATCGGGGCGAAGCGCGGGGCGGCGTAGTGACGGGTGCGGGAAGCTTTGATCGAGCATTGTGTACACGAGCTTCCAGGCGCTGCATCTGCGCGGTGAGTGATCGAATGTGGCTGAGCGAGTTGGTGGTAGGCATGCGTTGAGAGGTTGAGCGGGGCGCCGTGCGAGTGGCGGGAGTGCGGGTGGTGTTGGCACCGGAGACGCGGCCGCCGGTAGGTCGACTGCTCGTGACGGAGGCAGTGAAGGATCGGGGCTTCGGGGTGACGCTGTGCTCAACGGACGGCAGGCGGGAGACCTTGCGCGTCGTCGATGCGGGTGTCCTGGTAACCGTCCGCCTTGGTACGGATGCGGAGACGTCGGACATCGGGGGCGAGGGCGGTTCCATGAGCTCGGCCTTTGCGGCGGGCAGAGCCTCCGAGTCTGGCGGGGTTGTGACCATAGGGGAGCTCGCTGTCGAGTTGGGAGAGTGCTCCGTGTTCTTGTCGAACGTAGGCGACGACATGACCGAGAGGTCGGTGGAGATGTGGGACAGATGGCGTGCCTCTTGCTTCTTGAGCTTGTCTTGGAGCAGCTCGGCTTCGATCTTGAGATCGGCAAGCTCCTCACGCAGACGTTGCGCCTCGATGCGCAGGGTCTCTCGCTCTTGCTCGCCCAGCTTGATCTCCTCCTCCATCATGACTGCACGCTCGATCGCAACGTTGTATTTCGATTCAAGGTCCTCGAGGGAGGACGTCGTGTTTCGCGCCTGTCGCTCGAAATCGTCGTTGGCGACCTCAATGTCGCGCAGCTTAAGCTGCATGGTCCTGTTGGTATCGCGCAATGTGGTAATCTCCTTCTCTAGTGTGTTCTGAGCCGAGTTTGCTTCCGTCTTGGCTTGCTTGTATTTTGTCTGCAAATCAGACCGGGTCAGCGCTGGCCGTCGCAACCGCATCCATCCCTAGATGCTGCAGGCGGGAGAAATCTCACCTTCCACTCCTCTACCTCGAACTTGAGGCTCTCAGCCTTCTCCTGCAGGCCGCGTTCCCTCTTCTCGGCAGCTTCAATGTCCTTCTCCAACTCTTGCTCCAGCTCCTTGCTGGATTCACGGAACTCGGCGAGTTCTCCCTCGAGCACCTCGTACTGGGCCTTGTACCAGGCCAAGGCGTCCTCGGCGCTGGTCGCCTCGCTGGGCGGAGATGATGGTGGCTCTGCCATGGTTGCTATCTGTTGCTACTGTGACGTCGTCGCCTCGGTGATCAGACGGATTGCATGTGAAGCTCGGCGATGGTGGTGTTTTGGGTTTTGTGTATTTTTGTCGCAGGTCGTGCAAGGCGCGGGGAAAGTATGCGGTCGCAAACGGTAGCGGTTGAAGATATACAAAGGGAAACTGTAATGTTGTGTAGAATGATCGTAAGAGTCGTAAAATGCGTGCTGTGCGGTCGTCGTTAGCTTGGTGTTGATTGCGCAGATTGAGGGACGCGGTCGCAGCGAAAACGACGTGCGGTCGGCAGTGCGGACGTAGCGACTCTGTGGTTTGTTGTGGTGGCTGGTCGGCTGGGTCGTCGTAACAAGGCAGAGAGAAAAAGGACGATGGCCGAAGAAGAGGAGCAACAGAATAGAATGCAGGTGTCGTCGTGTGTGTCGAATGTCGCGGTGGCTGGTGTCGATGATGGTTGTGTGTGTGTTCGATGCGCCGCCTTCGGGAAGTGTTGCGGTGGGCGAATCTGGCGGCTGCTGCGACGGGACTTACCTGACTTACCGGTGGATTGTCGTCGCTGGTCGTTCGTTGGTCGTCGTGTTGTCGTCGTCGTCGGTAGTGAAATGCAGTTGTCGATGTTGACTTCGACAAAAACAAGTCAGGGACTGCGACGGACTGGACGGGACTACTAGACTGACTGACTACTGGACGCAGGACCGACTAAGGAGTGGTGGGATTGGGCATGGCTGGGACAGGAAAGGAAAGGGTCAATGTTGATGTCGGTCAGGCGTGTGTGCGTGGTGTGTGTGGTGGTGCAGTGCGTTGCTGTTGCGGGTTGCCCCCTGTCGCCCCTTGTCGTGGCAGTGCGCCATGCCCGATCAGGTAAGGCCTGCTACCACGGGCAACTGGACTCTTGGATTATGTAAGTCGCCCGTGAGCCAGTGAGAGCGGCGGGAGCGCTGATGAAAGTGGGGGCGGTGCCTTTTTTTGGATCGTCTGCAGCAGCGGCAAGCAACAACACACTGTGACTCTTTTGCCTGCAGGCTGCTTGCTGCAGTAAGGCACCTACCTACCTGCTGCATATGCAAACGATACGTACCGCCGCACCCGCTCCTTCCACATTCCACGGTCCTTAACACCCTTCCGCACTTGTTTATGTGTGTTTCTGTTAAGGAACAGCGAGACACCTTGGGGAAGGAAGCCGCAAAGCCCAGAGCCCCTCCTTCGTCATTTGCTTCCCGCCGCAAGGTCATCGCCTGCAGCTTCACTCTTTCAACCACCTCGAATCCTCCCGTCCTGCCCCCAACACGTCAACATTTTCTGCCTCTCCAAAGCTGCACCCGCTGGCGATCATGGAGACTGCGGTGGACCTGCAAGGCTTGTAACTTGTGAGGGTCACTCTAGTCCTGCCATGCGAAATGCACAGCACCGCAGCCTCAGCCTTCCTCCCCATGAGAGATCCCCGTCCGGCCCGGTCAATCAAATCAGTCCAGCCGCAACACAGTCAAACAGCATCACAGCATCGTGTCTCACTCGTCCATCAAATCAGACCGCCTCCCACCGCACACGCGTCTTTGTTTTCTTACCTTCTGCAAACGCGCAACGAACCATAACCGTGACTGAGCGCTGCAGAAGCCCCCAACCAACCGTCGTAGATCTGCCTGCCTAGCTGTACTAACAAAAAGCTCCAATTCTATCCTCGGACGATGACGGTTGCAAGCAGGCCGCTCCCGGTCCGACTGATCCCCCAAATCAGGGCAATCCCAACTTTTGACCTTCATGCAAATGCACTGTTCCCTTGGAGCCCCTTTGCCATTTCACCAGAAACCCACGCCAGCTTACCCACCACCCTGCACGACATACCGTCCGCCGTCGATGCGGCGCAGGTGCCGATTCGATCGGAGCAAAAAAGTGTCCCGAAATCTGCTTCCTTTTTGCTCGCAGATGGATGCAGAGAAGCTAGGAAAGATCAGACGTCCTGACGTTTGTTTCACATTTCACGCGCTAAGGGACCCAACCAGTCCCTTCCGCATGACAATATCAACGTCTCATGCCCATGAGCGGCACACCGCACCTTACTCATTCGCCCACCCACTCACCCAGCGAGCTTGGTAAATGTTAATGCAGCTGACCTGGCCTCGCCCAGCCTGCTAAATTAAGGGATTCTGATTCATCACCTCGGGAGATCCTCTTCGCCTAGACAGGGGGTAGTGGTGGTGGGTGTGTTCTTCCGGTCACGTCCGACCGCTGCGCTATGCTTCCGCTGCCAATTTCTGTCCGGCCCGCGATCGTCGCATCCGTCGCAGATACAACTGCCACCCCCTCCGTCTTCATGTCGCTTCCGGCGTAACCTCCGCCAAACGGGATCCAAGCCCGAGCTCGGGCGGACTGCCATTTTTACCTACGTCTTCGGCAAAATCCATGTCGCCCGCTCTCGACAATCTCGGCGCACCGATCGCAACCAAGATGGTGACCTGGCGGGTTTCTCACCGCCTGCTACTTTGATATTCTGCCGGTTGATGCACGACGACCGCCATTGATACTCGGAAGAGCAGCTCGTCAATCATGGCGTTGTGGTTAATAACATGTTAAAAAAGAGTTAAATAGTGTTGTGGCAGTAGGCGATAAAACTGCCATGCCAAAGCATTTACCGACAGTCAAAGATATCGCCTAATTTCCCAATGATAGTAGAAAAGCATAGAGGTACCAATGACGACGGACCAAAACAACGGGCCATAACGACTGATGACAATAACTATAATACGAAGACGGCGATGATACTGGCTACAGAGAGGGAACGCACAGGAAAAGTAACCGTTATAGCATAGGGAAATTAGGCAGTCTCAATTGAAAAAGACAAAAAACAGGAAGCAAAATGGTTTGCTAGCCACCAAGCCCACGTTTGTATTGCCACATTGTTGCTCTAACCTCAAATTTATCTTCCGGCTTAATGTTCACAAAGGTTGGATGTCGTGAATGACAGTGCTGGGCAACCGTTGACGCCGCCCAAAGGTTGCGAACCATACTGGCAGCAATAGCAACGAGAAACCTCACTGTAGCACCTACCGTGGTAGGTACACTACGATGCTACCCAGAGGTTGAGCTGGGTTTGGTGATGGCATAACCATTCATTGTATGTACTAAAAGAGTGACTGATAAAAACAGGGCCCTGCGTGAACTCTAAATACAAACTCAACATCAACCCACTACTTTCTCCTCAATGTACCCACAAGAAGCGAGCCTGAACGATTCTTGAAAACGAGAGCTGTCCAGGCCCAATCGGGATGCTCACTCGTAGGCTTCTTAGACGCAGAGGACGGAGTTGCCAGTGTGCTTGCACTCTAGAACGTTGTTGTCAGCAACTGATCTGCAGAAACCCCGCTAAATATGGTAGAAGGCGAGGAGGTGTGTACTTACTGCCCTTGAACTGGCCGCCAACACCGTTGGTCCAGTAGGCGCAGAAGGCACCGTTGTTGTGGACGCTCTCGGTGTTCATCGTGGTGCAGGCCTCGTGGACGGTGGCTGGTGTCACATCGGGGTTTAGCATCTCAGCGGCCTCGTGCCTTATAGAGGGCTTTGAAGTGAGAACTTACAGCCGCGGATGGTGTAGTACGTGTTGTTGGCAACCCAGACGCCGTTAGCGTCCTTGGTCCAGGCGTTGGTGCCGGTGGCAAGCAGGGCGGCGGCGGAGATGACGATGGCGGAGAACTGCATTTTGGGGTTCGGATCAGGAAACCGGGATTTGGAAGGATGTTGGAGTGTGTAAGTGTGAATATGAGTGTGAGTTGTCTGAGTCTAGAGATGTTCCTTTCTGGGGTTTAAGAGGAAGCCGGTTTATATAGCATTTGGGTCTTCGGTTTTCAGAGTGATTCCATGACAGATGCATGCCTCCGGCATGGTATCTGACTACACGTAGCCGTGGAGCCATGTTGTTTCACAAGATGGAAGAACTCGCGGAGCCTACTGACAGACTATGCGATCCTTCGAAACACTTTTCGCGATCTTGTTTCGTTGCCTCGGACTCGACTCGTCGTCGGACGCACAAGTACGAGACACAAGATCCTGCTGCGGCAGGGAGCCTCGTCTGGTACGAAGCGTAGCTCACCATGTCCTAGACTTCGCTGCATAGATTGGCTTCTCGCCTACTGTCTGCTAACTAAATCATGGATCACAGGCCACTACTTTTTCCCTCGGACTCAGCGGAGCTATTGATCTGCACTTAGGCAGGTGGCATAGCCGCCCATGTGTCTAGGAACTTTGTCTCGGATGTTAGCTTTAAGAGAGACTCTGCTTGATGTCAAGGATTTGAAATGAGACTACGAATAGTATTTTCAGCATACAGTACTTCCTGCCTTACTTGGCATCCTAACGGCTCAAAAGACGCGGGCTTCCACATTCCCATTACCTGATGCCAAGGACAGGGCCCTAAGTGGCAAAGACAAGCTGGCTTACTACTGTCTCGCGACGTGACACGGACGGATTGTGCATACTGACATCGGGCAATGATCTGGTTCCCTTGAATTTCTGGCGAAGAGTTGCCAAGTCGCTGGTCGAAGCTGACAAAAGCCAGGTTTCGTACGACGTCAACCACTTTTGACGAGGCCATGCAAATCAATACAAGCCTCCTAATACTCATGTTCATACTTGCTTTGTGTACGACTCGTACGAGACAGGCAGAAACGCAGCATTCTTTTGATTTGCACTTTAGTAAATACTTTTATTCACACTCACTGAGTTACTTCCTCCAGCGGGGGTCCGAAGAATTGGACATGAATGCAATAATTCAAGAGCATCCCTAGATGTGTGACTTGATCAGCGGGCTACTGCATGTTCCTCACATTCCTACCAGGCAGTCGCCAAGGAAGAATTTGAATATTGCTGAGTTCTCGTCAGCAATTGACAAATGACAAGACAGGTCTCACAAACCAAGGAACTAAAGTCGTCAACCATTCGATTGCAACATTGGCACTGGACAGGGCTGACGACGTTGCAAGAGGGACACGACTGGAAGGCTTCG